GTGGACACGAGGTTGAAGGAGCATCAGCGGCACATCCGTCTCGAACATCCGGACAAGTCGGCCGTAGCTGAACACAGCATCGAACTGGGACACCGCATTCAGCTTCAGAATACCTCCATCCTCGCCACCAAGACGCGCTATATGGATCGCATCATTAGGGAAGCCATTGAGATCGAACTGCATCCAGGGAATATGAACAGAGAGGATGGGTTTCGTCTCAGCAAGTCTTGGAAACCTCTTATCTGTTCTCTTAAAAACCCCCCACCGGGATATGACGCCAGATCCGGAAAGCCACAAGGCCATGACCAACCAACATAACAACCCCACCCCCCTCAGCTTACAGTTAAAGACCAGCCATTTAACCTTGCTACACTCTCCCCTACACAAAATCACGCTTGTCCCAGCTCCCTTTCCCCCACCCCTCCCACACCACTGCTTTCACTTGTTTACTTGCAGTTCATCCCCTTCCCTCTATGCTCTAACGGTATATTCTTTAGTCTGCTTTACCGTGTCTCACGGTGTTGTCGCTTGCAGATTTACTTATACTTTTTCTTCAACCCTGAAGATGGGGGCGATACGTTCCTCCGAAACGTCGGTTAACACCACATATACACGGTGCCAAATCCCAGAAGACTGCTTTCTTCAAATTAAGAAGTTAATAATATAAGTAGTATTGATGACAATGAAAAATATCACTTCAGAGCTGTTATTTAAAAACTATAAGGAGACAAGAAGCTGAAATCCGATCTCCTTCATCCAGCTCAAACCAATCTTGGATATTTTCTTGCATGGTTTCAGTCTCTCCAGCTGTCCCCAACAGTCTGAAAGTCCTCTTGCTTCTGAATCCCATGTCTCATTTAAAGCATGTACTCAAATGTGAACAGAATTTCTCATTTTTTATATTTCGATCTGGATTATCTGACATTGAGATTAACTGTAACCGGATTAGCGATTTAATGTAATCTGAGATACTGACAGCACTTTAAAATAAACCAGAAAAAGGAACATAGCAGAGATGTTGAAGACACAGGATTATCTGCCATAATGATGCTTACTCAAGGTTAGGTGTGCCCTCACAGCGACACATGCAGCTCATCTGCCTACATTTCAGGTTCATGTGTTCTGACTCTACACAGCGTGTGGACATTGGATGGAGCACATCTCACCACAAATGTCACCACTTGCTACACACTTGCCATGGCTGACTGCACCACTCAGCCTCAGTTTGCAGTGTTTATCAGGAAGGTGGAAGGCACTGCAACCCCTCTGGTACAGTCTACTCCCTTCAGTTACTTAACCTTCTTTTTCTTAATGACATTGTTATGTTACTTCACCTGCAAAAATTAAGAGAGTACACGCACTACAAGAGTAGCACATCATACAGCCAGTAGATGCTAAATATTGTCACATCTGGGGTTCCATGACTATTAATTACAGGTTCTGGATTGGATGGATTTATTGATACTTCTATTACAATTACAACCAATTACAACTCACAATGACTGTCTAAGACTTGCTCCATTCCTTACTGGACTACTAGTGTATTCTTTTCCACCATGACTGACTCAGTTCTGATTTACAGATTGGTCCCTTAAGAATCACTAAGAATGAACTGAACTCAACTGAACTGTCCTTTTATAAATTTGAGGTAAACTGAATATAGATCACCATCTCGAACAGTTCATATATTACTGCATCTATTCATTGCCACAGATACGTTTTTTGAGAGCCGTTGCCTAGCAGTGGATTATTCCACGTCTAGTCGTTGGCTGCAGGAACGTGCTTACCAAACCATTGTCTAGCAATGGTCATATTGATCACAATATATTTTTGACCATGGGAAAGGCAAAATTTAAGAAATATATATATATATATATATATATAAAGAAAACATGCTTCTACTTAACGGTTTATTTAGCAATACTATCAGTAGCCCTGACTGCATTGTGTCAAATGTTGTGACAAATGGTGAATAATGAATTGGGGAGGATGTGGAAGACAGCAGTCAGTGGAATTTGAAGTACTGTTCCCAGCATTTCCATGGAGGGACTGACAAAAACCAAGAAGCTCCTGTCAGAACATCCAGTATGTTCCTTCATATGGGGCAGGAGTGCTGGTCAGCAGTCACTGTGTTTGGGAGGTACATAGTTTGAATATTGGCAAGTATACTGGCCACACGGAAATGTGACAGTTTCCTTCACTGCAGCCAGGCAAACAGCAACTTGAAACAGGCCATGAACTGCCTCCCCGTTAATCCCAGTCTGTTCAATATCACAGTTGTTTCCATCTGCAGTTGAAATAAAATTGTTAAATAGTGTGAAAATCAATCAGGCTAATCTGCAGGTGCTAACTGAACATTACCAACGCATTTGAAATGTTTGCATGATACATATTTAAGTCATGACAAATGTTTTAATTGCACACCAGTAGAAGGTACAGACACCTCGACTGTTGGTCCATGAATGCTGTTCATTCATCCTGCAACTTGTTGATTCCTTGTCATGTAATAATGATGAGAGCTGTGAAGAGCAACCTTCTTGTCACTGCAGGCTATGGAACTGTATAGTGACATAAACCGTATAGAAGTTCTGCCAACCGCGGACCAGCTTACCATCTCCGTGAATGGTCAGATGGTGCCAAACCCACATGAAGGTTACCAACACCCAGTTAAAGGTGACAGCTATGTGTTCAAGTAAGTGTTCATGGTGTATTCACAAAGAAAAGTTGAAAAAGTGCACATGTCCATCCATATGCAAGCCCCTGTAATAATTTCATAAAATTTGATACAGGGATTTCTACTAAAATTCGTTCACACTTCTCAATTTGAAGTTAAACTGGACAACAAGAACAGGCACTTTATGTGATGACCTACACGTGTTGTTCCGCACAACTTGGATGTAGCTTGCAAAGTATTTATTGCTGCAAAAAATGTTTTGAATAGAAGTTACACAGAAAAATGAGACATTCATGCCCAGTACATTTTTTCCACAAGTCTTATAGTTTTTGAGGCAATTAAAATTGAGTGAACACACCAAAACTAATGCTATGTGTACATTTCCTAACTTGTTTGATCATCTTGTGGTTAGAGGTACATGTTTACAGTACACCTCTGGTGTTCTCATATTTCAGGGTGTGGCAGCGTTCGGATGGGCCTGTCCAGATTCACTTGGGAGAAGCCAATGTGTGGTTGGAATATTATGGGCATTTTGCTACAGTATCTGTGCTGGGCTTGTATCATGGTGGGCTGTGTGGGCTATGTGGTGATCACAACATTGATGCTGGTGATGATACTGCGCAGGTTATCACAATGCCATGCACTGGCACAAAGTAACACTTTGCTAGTCTCTGTATAACAGGCAGCTGTGTGATGACACAGTAACAAAGTTCTGAGGTTTGATAATGGATTACTAACACATCAGCATGGAACCCAGAGCCCATATGATGCTCCTGGCCAGTAACAAGTACTGCTCTCTATGTGGGGATGACCTGGATTTCAGTATAATAAAAATGTATAATGAAACAATTCAAGTTTATAAATGGACAGACAAATCCATAAAATCTGCACTATTTATATCCCCACTACATAAAGAAGCGTTTAAATGGAATGAAGTACTTTGTAACTTCCTGATCTTCCTTAACACTAGCCAGGCAAAATGGAATGACACCATGACATTCATCAGCTGCTCATGACTTCCTGATTCATTATTATGACATCTAACATTCTCACAGAGGCAAATATTAAAGTTACAGGGCTCTAGGAATGGGACGCCATGTAGCGTGGCATACGGGTACCAACATTTTGGAGGAACCTGCTGTCTCCAGCTTCAAGACAGAAGATAGCAGTAGCAGGTTCATCTGAAACATTTGTATGTATGTACCAAAGAACACGATGTCACATCCCTCTCGCTTGAGCCCAGCAGATCATTCCACACTGCACTTGTGTTGCAGAACACTACACTGACTGCATCTCACATACCCGACCTATTCTAGATCCCATGGATTCATGGTAGTCATGATACTTCTCATAAACATGTCACATAAATGTAGACATCACAACCACAAGTTACTGCAGCATCATGTTATGTTGTATTACATTCATTATTTTGCTTTCTGTTGACACAGTCTACAAGTTTACAGTATGTTCCAGCCTTTCGGCTGAACTGTACTGTACATGTACTACTGAATAATCTTTAATTAAAATGCAAGCGGCAGACAACACAAAATGCATCCATATGTAAACACTGGCCAATGTAATGACAGAGAACCTAAGTTACAGTTATATGTAGAACACATGATGATGGCCAAAAGGCTGAAACATGCTGTAAAGCCTTAAGGTATAGCATATTGACACAGTGTTGACAGAAAAAAATAATAAATGCCCATAAGTAAGTAAAATCAGGACTGAATTCCTTTAAGTGCAACAATGTTTTCTTAATAATAAAACAGAGCCTTCATCAAAACACATCTCACATGCACACAACCCACTGTGAAGCAACAGGACCGTCACCAGGATTCACAGCAAGAGTCTGATCAATTGACAGATTTCATTTTTAACAAAACGTACTTTAAATACCAGTGTTTTAACCCTTGGAAGACGCATGTAATTCACATGATGAATTTCCTCTGAAGTGTTGGTTACCTTCCAATGCAGGCCAGCATTGGCCAGAACATGTGCAAAGGGTTTATTTTATTCTTAAAAACCACTGTTGCACTTGCTGCAATTCAACATTAATTTTACTTATATGTTATACAGTGCAATGGCTGAGGACAATGTCAACCATAAAAACATGCTGATGTAATTTTGCATAAACTGTATTACCCAGAGATTTATTAAATAAGGATCCGACTGTACACACAAATCTTATAACTGATTTCATTCCTTATGTTTCTTGTTTCTTGTAACAGTTTGACTGGTGAATATAAACATTTTCACAAAGTGTCAGAATATCTGCAGTCAAGTTCCAGTTGTCACAGCTTTGACCAGCCATCTAATGGTCTCCAAGGTAATTTAGTTGCACTAGCAATGTCAGGATATAGCATGGCTCAATTCCTCTAGTGTGGCCAACCTACTAGCAGCCAGGCGGGTCTGAAACACACTGGACCGTTCACTGCAAGATCCATTAGCCATCTCATCAGCCTGACACACAGGGACAAGCTGAGCATAGCTCCGCTGGAACTTAATGATGGCGGCCAGGAGATGCCAGATGCTGAACTCTGGCCAGAGGACATCCGCAAAGTAGATACAGCTGCAAGACACCTATCAGACAGATTGATTACATCATGTGCACACAATGAGAGGAAACACAAACCAAGGTTCGAGCCTGGGCTCCATCTGAGTGGCCTTCCTCAATCTACACACTTCAACACTGAAGATGGAGGCAACATGTTGAATTCCATCCTACAGCACTGAATGGTCTCACAACCCAAATGACCACAATTGAATATTACATCAATTGCACAAGTTGTTACAGACCAAAGCAGACAACTGACAATGGGTGCAGTCCTGTACTACAAAAAGTGTAATTTTATGAAAGAATAAAATGATTCATACTAGCTTGGGACACAAGTCCTGTTGCAGCTCTTGTGTCTGTGGTGATGAACATACAGAACAGACCTATACATTATTAGTTCTGGGAAATTAAGATTCTCACAAATATTGTACATAGAAACATGCGTCCATAATTAATAAACAACATTCTTGGCTTTTAAATGCGGTAAGTTTATGTTCCACAGCTTTGCTCTCTCCAATACCAACCTGCCATAACATGTAATCGCTGAGCCTGACCTCTCCTGAGGTTCTGATCAGCAGCTCTGGGTCAGGACTGGTGCTTGTGTACATGCAGCTAGACAGCAGCTTTTGAGTTACATCAGACACTCTGAGGGCACCATCCTCCACACCAGACACCACAGCCTGAACAGCTTGTGCCATTTCCTCCCTGGCTGAACACACAATGCTGACATGTAACACTACTACCAGTAAGGGGAACTGGTCCACACTCAACTGCTTCAAACCGGCTTACCTGTGTATGCAAACGCCACATTCAGAAATGTTTTATTGTTGTCCTTTGTGAGTATCATGGCCTGTGCTATAAGTTTCTGGATGTCCTGTGGAAGAAGTGACAGATTTCCAATAATCCTGATGCACACCCCATGTTCCATCAGCTTGTCCCTGGCAGAACATCAAACACAAATGAGCTCCCACTTTTTAATTCTCCAACAAAGACATGATTTTCAGACAAAAGGACTAACTTCTCACACAGCAACTGTTTAAACTTCTGCCGAGAGAGCTCCATTAGAGCATCAACCTCTTCTTGGCTGCGTTTGAAGTTCTCTATGCTGAATGCATAAACTGTAACTTCAGAGATTCCAAGGTCCAGACACCACTGCAAGGTTTCTGCTAACTTTTCAAACCTACACAAACCACATATAATTATTACAGTTCATCATCATATGAAAATATTACATCAGCTGTATATAAAATAACTTACCCCTGGGAATGGCCCTCAACTTTTTGTACATTATTTTTCTTGGCATATCGCCTGTTGCCATCCATGATAAAGGCTACATGTTTAGGTACTCTACCATTTTTTATAATCTTCACACACAGTAACTGTATCCAACTTAATGTACTGTCACGAATCCAAGACATTTCAACAAGACTGGGCAAACTAATTTTTAAATGTAAAATACTAATAATCCACAACACAACCAGCTTAGGAAAATAAACTGCACAATGAAATGTCATAAAAATATACACATATTTAAGAACAAATCCTTTCCATTCTCATTGCTCTTCGCTCTACTACACTGACGCAACACCACAACAGTTTCCAACTATTCAGCTCATTGAACTTGAACTAAGTCCACTGTTGCATAGAGAGACAATATTCGGAGCAGGCAAATTGATAATGCCGAATTTATACAATTTGTATAGCTACAGCAGTGCCATATATTTGTTTGTGAAGAACGTCTGGGAACTACCTAATTACTACATAATTTGGATTCAAAATAAATCACAATTTACATGAAAATATGTGCTACAGTTCTTCGCTCTCCTATCGAATAAAGTGTTGGAACTGATATACGCTCCACACCTAAATTTCTCTTCGCAGGTCTATACGCCATTTTGTATTCTTCCGCGTAGTTACCTTTATATGTAGTTGTAGCATTGCAACACTATTTCGAAGACAAGAAGACGCATAATTCATCAAATGTGATTAAATATATTTAGTATGTGGAAGAAATACTGCAATGTTACTTTTACATGTTTATTGGGCACAAGTAGCGGAAGAAGGACCTATATGATTCTGCGCGCCACGCTGCACTTATGGTAGTGGTGCGGTTCAGGTTGTGAGTGTGTACAGAATGGCTACTGGTGTGAGTTTATGGAACATGTTTCGAGAAAAATAATATATTTTCATTAACTTGTTTGTAAACCAATTAATAAATAAGTAATTATGGATATAGGCGTATTAAATAACCAAACTTCAGTGACATCAGGTAAGAATATATTTGTGTACTTGCGTAGTTTCGGTTAAAACTGACTGCGATGTGCGCTATGTATAACGGCGTTCGTTCCACTTGCAGAGCTGTATTTCCTGATCGCAAAATTTTTGGCTGCTGGTCCGTGTCAGGAAACTGCAAATGTAAGTACATTTACATGAACTTGTGCAGAATCTAATTCCCTTTACAAATATTTAACAATTTTTTGCTTTCTATTGCAGATGTTAAGGCGAGAACTGGAAAATTCAAAGGTGAGCACTGAGTTTGACATTCAGCTGTGCTTGTAGGAGCCACCGCATGGTTTGCACGTGGTTTCCTTCCGTCAAAACATTACATATGTAAAGGTCGATGACCCTGAATGTAAATAAACATCTCCAAACAATGGAATCTTGTATAACATGAAATTTTAATTTATTCCAGGCTTTACCCAAAAGATTAGATTGGCAAGGAAATGAGCATGAACAAACGTTTGAGGAATTGGTAAGTATATTTTAATGAAAAGTGGACATTTTTAACATTCGTTGTTCGTCGTCACCATGTGCAAGAGTTACATATGCGAAGAAATCAACGATATGCATCTTAAGTTTTTAGTTATGCAGTAATTTTAATTGTATGTGTTTTATTCTGTATTTAACGTTAGAAAAGGAAAATCGTTATTCTGCCCCTTTTGGGCTCTTGCAGTCTCCCCCCTCCCGTCTTTGACTCACGACGTCATTAATCACTCCCTGACCAATGAGAAACAGCGTTACGTGAATGTGTGACGTAATGCAATCAATAGGTATGCAACATCCATGTTGGTTTGCTACACAGGTCAGGCTTGCGCAATGATGATTTCAGACGCAAAGCACTTTTGTGGAGCCAGTCGTACGAGAGTAACGTGAGCAATTTAAGAACTAAGGAAGTGTTGTTTTCTGCAAATATGGCGGCAATGTTGAATTATTTCGATAATGGAGGAGAAATAAATGTAGAACTTAAAGAAAATGGACATACCTTAATCAAATACTACTACCGTTTATATTTTTACACCAGTTTCCATTGATTCAGTTCACACGGCATGTGTTTTATGTGGTGTTTGACGCGTCAAAACGTAAGAAAAGCTGACTGTTCATTAGGCATATAAAGTCCAATTTGTGAAGGAAGCAATCTCAGAAATGGAAAACTGCCGTAAACACAAGTTTCATCTGTATCCCCTCTCATGTCATTGTTAGCGCGGTTGTATGGCTAGGATATTGAATGTACAAGGCTCGATCGGGATTGATTGCCACACACATTAATAGACTTATTTGTATAACAAATTGTACATGTTTCAACTGTAAAACGGTCATCATTAGGTGGAATATACTTAAGTAATTAAAATGTCCATGTATGAAATTGTCAGCGACTATCACATGATACATGCCCACTGGCATTTCCAAATTGATTGCTTGTTTATGAAGTTTGTCCAGTTCAGGTCTTGTATAATTTTGGCACTTTATACTCATGTGCTAGGCTTTTGTTTCTGTTCTTGCACTGTCCTGGTCAATCCAGATAAATGTATAATTGAATATTGTAACTTAATTTAAAATTTAGAGTGGTCATTCAGTATTTGGTGAGTATTCAGGGGGCTGTGAAGTGCACTGTAGCATTATGTCCTGAAGTAGGAAGCAGGGTGATGCTGAGGTGCCATATATATATATATATA